TTGTAGTTTGTATACACATAAGTACACTAAAAGAGGTAAAAACAATCCAAATACCCGCATGGGCCCCGACGAGCGTGTTAATGGTACACATGTGACGTCCAGGGATGCTGTGCGGGTTACTAAATTTGAACATGATCCTCCTAAACAAGTAAAAAGGAGTGGACAAGGTTTAATTACAAAATACCCCAAACACCCGCATGGGCCCCCACGAGCGTGTTATTGGTACACACGTGGCGTCTAAGGATGATGCGCGGGTCAATAAGTGAATTCTTGTTCGACCCCGATCCTTCTATACAGATCAGTAGGAGTCGACAAGGTTCGAACCAACAAACAAATATGTGGCCGTTGTGACCAGAATATTTGTTTTAATACATTCATATTAGGCCTTCAAAGCCTAAAATCAAGAGAATTCACTCTCAAAAGTATAAAGCTTACGAAACCCGATCGTTTGTCGACAGCCAGACAGAGTCGACAAGGTTCAAGCTTTAAATGGAAATAACCTCTAACACCCCGATGATGGCCGTGTTGAATGTTTATCTCAACCGGAGGGGTTCACAAATATTTTCAAAAAATGCCATCCAAGCTCCACTCAAACATCCAAAATCCTAGAGTTCATCCAAAGTCTAAATTCCCAAAATCCTAAAATCCAAATATTTAAAAATGAAACTATCCATCTCAACGCTTAAAGCAAAATCCATCCACGCTCCGCAACAGTTTGCCAAGGTGGACAAATTTAAAATTACTTCAGCTCACAAAGAGCCAAATGCCTAGTCGAAAATATTACTAGGATCCATTCTCAAACAGACTCCTACCGATAAGGACGTGGTACGTGTCCTCTGACCGGCGGTCTGCTGCCAAATGGAACCGCAGGATAAACGATTATGACGCGGGGCCCTCTGAACCGAGTGGTTTTGCCGCCAAATGGCACCACGAAATACCGGTTATGGCCATCGCCGTTACGTTCCTTATTGACATCAAATCCTTGAGATATGAATCAATAGGATATGATTGATAGGGCACAAAGCCCTCTGTTAGCTAAGGCGAATTTAACTTTGTCCCCTTAGACAAATATCCAACACAGGTCTACAAGGTCTCCTTAGACGAAGCAACCCATGGCTGCCGACAAGGATCCTTCTGTCAGGTTGGGTCGACTACCTCCTCTGACTAAGTAGACCAGGGACCACGATGGCCCGGGACGACGGAACCATGGGATCTTGATCGGGTCTATCATCCATTCCCCCACCATCCGCTTTAAGTGCAAGATGGTGCAATTTCTGTTTTAAATATCAATTCCATCCAAATATCCAAACTTTCCAAATCTCAAACCCATTACTGCTACTTTATGCCAGATAACATGTATTTCTATATGTATCTGATCGACGACTAGCCTTAATCGAAAGTTCTCTCTCGTGATCGTGAGGAGTAATTAACTATAGGGGCTTGCTCCTATAGGAAACCAGAACTCAGATCATAAACTCCTCACAAAATGAGTGTGAAATCTCTGGGTAGTGTCTAATCTACAAACCCATCTGCCTTCCAAAATTTACCTCGGAACTTATCAGTTAAAACTCCCTCGCCGAATAAAAAGAAAAGCGGCAGGGAGGCCGGGGCCGAATTTTCGGAGCCCACAGGGACTTAGGAGAGTGTATGGAGCCAGCTCAGTTGGTGGAGGATCAGGGGCACCTAGAAAAAGGAACAGGTGGCGGTAGTTCAGGAGGCTCGTACAGGATGACCACCATATTTTTTGCAAGCAAAGGGCAAACATTGGATACTCTTAGGGAGACTTCAAAAGAGAAGACTGCTGGAGGAAGACCTGTAGACAGCTTTAAGAAGCTCACAGAAACAGAATTATAGGAGACAAGGGCAAAGCAGATCTGTTTCAGATGTGACGAGAGGTATACGTCGGGGTAAAAGTGTAAGGTCCGAACTCTTCAGGTTCTTACTGTTTGTGTGAAGAATGAATGGAGGAGGGTGTCTTCTTTCTACTTTGCGGACAAGGTGGATCTTTGGGAGGAGTTTATTGTTAGACCGTTCATTGGACCGGTCCAGCCGGTTTGACGGAACCGGCTTACGCGAAACTGGCGAAGAATTCTGCCTCCTATACGTAGGAGCCGACCGCCCAATTCACTTGTGAGCTGTTTAGGAAGATTTTTGAAGGAAGTTTGGAGGGAAAATACAAAGTAGGGGTTGTTTAGAGAATCCCTATTGAATTGTATGCATTAAATAATTTGTTTCCCTAGGGTTAGGGCATCTTGAATTTGGCTAAAATTTGAGATCTCTTAGATTTAGGTTTTATTTTGGGCTCTAGCGGTGGCGTCTAGAGATTTGGGAGAGATCGATCCTCCTTTCAAATAGAGGATCAATTGTATCTTGTTGTTTTTCTTCTTCTATGAGTGAATTTCTAGTATTTTCCCTCAGATTTTCCACTATTTCTACTGATTTTCTTGAGTTTTCTGTTCTGTTATTACTGTTGTTTTCTCTGGAAACAACAATTTTTAATGTTGTGGTTGAGTGTTTCCTATCACCATCTTCCAACATAACTTCTGATTTGCATAAAGCATCAATCCTGAAAGCTTCAGATCTAATCCATGCGTTGGGGGGTTTCGGAGCATGTTTGGCAGCATTAAGCTACTTAATGGGCTGTTGAAGTGGTGCAGATTGATCTTCCCAGCTAGCAGATTTAGAAGGGACATTTGCATAAACACCTGAAGTGCAGGTTGCTGATTTGGGGTATCATTAATGATTGCACTTAAAGGATTTACACGCCTACCGGCAAACTCAGGTGAAACAGTTGTATCCATAGCAACATACAATTCCAAATGTCCATTAGAAATTTTAGCATCACATGCGCTTCTAATCGTTGCATTACAAGCATCAGCGCCATTCGTGGCCATCTACTGACAAAGATTGGTGATGTCAACCGCAACAGTTTCGAGAGGCATGATCGGGTGAGCTGGTGGAAGTCCCCTATCATCCACATCAATACCAATCAGCATGCATTTGGAGTTTGAATGGCCGAGCATGTCCAATTCACATGTTGAATCGGGAGGAGAAGTGGACAAATCGCCCAAGGTGGGAGGCAGACGTGAGACGGTTGTGTAAGCAGAGTTCAAAACATCCAAATTCAAAGTAATTTCAGCCATATGATAACTGGAATTGGATTAAGCATCGACATTTGAAGGCGCACCATGCATGTGGTTCATCTTAGAAGTAATATTCATAACATAAGCTTCCGTCAGGCTACTCCCAGGCTTCAACATCCAGGAATTCTTCGTTTTCCTGCTCGGATGGCATACGATGAGCACAACAGAAGCTCCATATCATCCTGAGAATGCAGAAAATTAGTTGCCTTCCCACCCGTCCTATTGATAGAGAAACAAGTACAATGCTTGACCAGCAAACTATTAGATTTTGTCGGCCAAATTGACTTGGACGGAGTTTTCTATTAGGACTTGAATGCCAAAATCAGTGAACAAATAGTTTCAGCAAATCAAACAGATTTTGTTGATAAGAAAACAAACAAGAACAAATAAGATATAATGGTCATCTTTCAAGATGTGGACCTTTTCTCCCAAACTTTAGATGCCATTAGAATCCCTCACAAAAATAGTGGATAGCAAGAACAATTACAAAATCTGTATTAAAAAAAAAAAATACAACCAAAAGGCCTAATATAACCCTCCCTATTTTTTACACAAAACCTGAATTTACTCCATGTTTTTTCCCCATATTCTCCTTTGATAAGTAATCCACTCTTTTAGCTCTCCTTTCTTTCCAACCCCCTCCTTTAATTCTCCTCCCTTTCCAACCCCCTCCTTTTCCAACCCCTCCTTTAATTCTCCTCCCTTTCCAACTAGGCAGCCACCCCCACACCTGGGTCAACATCCTTGACTGTCTGGCCTTCCCATCCCTGTTTTTAGCTACCCGCCTGCTGGGTTGAGGTGGCCCAATTTTGGTCCAGTTGTAGTGAATGGACCGGTTCAACCATTCCATCATTTTCCTGCATTGCTGACCTTGCTCTTTTATTCCCACACACCTTTGTTATGGCCCTTGAACTCATTGGCCACCACCTAATAAGGGGAAGGAGGTGGCCCTAGGTCACCTCCCACCATGCTAAAGCTTCTCACGCTAAACCACTCTAGAGAGAGAAAGAAAATGGAAAAAATTACCATCTCTTGAGCATTGCAAATGTCTTTCTCACTTGTCTACTACAAAAGCTGCTTTCTCTTGTCCGCATACTTGGGTGCATTCAGGAACATGAGCATTGCAATAGTTTGCTGCAACACCCCCAAACAAGGCCTCAGTTTTATCTTGTTGATGAGTCAACTAGATCATCAAATTGATACCGAGTAGTAATCTCTTAAAACTAAGAAATCATGGTCTCTATGTCCATGCCCAGAAAGGCTTATGAAGTAGTTTAAGAACCGATGAAATGGGTGGAAGAGTTGAGGTTTGCATGGAATTTAATCGATGTTTTGCCAGGTCCACTGCCATGATTTTAGAAAGAGGCATCTTGCTAGAAATAATCTGTTAACTTTTGTGTAGTTATTGTAAAACAAGTATGACTATTTTTATTCAATGTGTGATCCATGTGGCTATGTGGTGTAGTGCACTTTTCAACTGTCGCTAAGGTGGTTAAATTCTGACATCTAGCTTTTGACAAGCTTTCTTGTTTTTGGGGAAAGTTTTGAAGATGCATATGTTGCTATATTACTGTCTCCTTGCATTTTTTTACCTTCACAGGTTTAGTAAAATGCTCAGCGTGACCTGTTGTGGTAATCATTATGGATTTATCTAGGCCATAATGTGCTCATAAGCATGCTTTTGTGATTGTAAAAGATTGATTCCTTATTCTCTTGAATTCCTATTGTACATTCTGTTTCTACAAATGTTTGCAGGCAAAATGCCGTGCTTACGGGAGAGTGCTTCCCATCAAATACTGTATAGTTGTTTCAATTGTTTATCCTAACTGAATATTTGAATTGTTTTTTTTTTTCTAGATAAGACAATACCGACGTTTGGATGATGGTTCCTTAAACGTGGTTGCTCGTGGTCAGCAGCGATTCCGCATGAGGCGCTCTTGGATAGATGTGGAAGGAGTGGTGAGATTGATATTTTATTAAATATCGTTGCCATTGATTGAGATGATGTTATGCTAATAGTTATTGTATATTTTTCAATAGCCATGTGCTGAAGTCCAGATTGTTAAGGAAGATATCCCTCTAAGAACACCAAAGGATGCTTTTGCAGAGTTGGCTGCTGTAACTGACTTTAGAAAACGCCACTACCCCTCTGCAAAGGTGTCAGGCTTTTCTCCTTTGCAGCTACATAATAAAATGCTAACTGATAATGACTGGGAATGCATGTCCGGTACAAGCAACGGTAGTGATCATTCAGATATCGACTTGAAATTTTGTTTGTCAGGATATGATTCCTTTGGTGGATATGAGAGAATTCAAGAATGTTCAAGCAGTGATGAAGAAGAGTTTGCAAACAGACCTGGGAAGCTAAAAGGAAAATCTCATACCAGCAAATCACATGGGTTAGACCGGAATTACAAGTCTGGCTATGTGTGCGAGCATCATAGGCCTGATTTGGATTTGGTGAAAGAGTCGACACCAGAGAAAAAATCTAGTGGAGTAAAATGTGGAGCTACTGATAGTTTAAGACGGATTCCAAAGGCCTCCTTGTCTTTCTGGCCTGGGTGGATCTACCAAATGCATGATTCTTATGCTCTTGCTCGAAGGGCAGCAGGTAATAAGACCATTCAGTAGTGTTCAAGATATGACATTTGTATTTAGAGCCAAGTCTTTACTATAAAATGATTTTTTAATATTTATTAGGACCTTTGTTTTTAAGTAGACCTTGGACGTTTGATTATTTTGCTCTCTTTATATGCATACATTGTGTTATAACAAAAAATGGCAGACCCGTTAATGTCGATGAAACAATATGGAAGCCCATCTATGTTAAGAATTACACCATCCATTTTTATTTATTCATTTTGTAAGAAAGTGATCCCTGTTTTTGAGCCTATGGTGACAGGAAAACCTTCTCGTTTCCATTGAAACTATATTAAAAAAACCCAAACTTACAATATAAAATCGTACACTATTATTTTACCAATAAATGATTTTAGGGTGATCAAATACATACCACAAAATTCTTTTATATTTACATATCTAATGCCTAAATCTTTATATTTACTTATATACTATTTTAGTATCTAAATTGCATCAAAGCATATGCTTGAAAGTATGTTTTCATTTTAAATAAGTTAATATTAGTGGTTTTTAGTTTAAATATTTGGGTGTTGTATAAGTAAATATGAAGATTTAGATGTTATTTATATAAATACATAAGAATTTTTTGATATATATATAAAGGTATAATAGCTTAGAGTTATTTCTTATGAACAATCAATACAAAATTCTATGATTTGATGTTGTAATATTTTTGGGGTTCATTTTATGTGTCTGGTCCATCAACTGAATAAGCAAATTTGATTTTGACCATCTGATCCCTGAAGTGTTTGTAAACCAGCATTCAGTTGGCAGACAAGTTTTTCAGGACTTAAGTGCAATATAGCTGCCGACTGTTATGGCTTTCTTTAATTGGGAACATTAGTATAGAAATCCAAAAAATGACTTTATTGATTGAAGACCAAGATTGATGAACAGAGATTATTGTATTTAGGCTCAATACTCAAACTAGAATGTTGAATAATTTAGCAAGATTTGCAATTCTTTCAACCTTGAGAAATCGGTTCTGTTTCTATTTCAATATCTTTTTTGTTTTTGCATTAAGAGAATGAATTCCCTTGCCTTGCTGCAGAATTGTGGAAGAAGATAGTTGGAACTCCAAAACTGGATGATTACATCAGGAAGCCAGATATTCTGTCATTTCATATTGGCAGCAAACTTCCTGTCTCTGAATCTACTAGGCAAGAACTCTTAGAGATTGATGGGATATCATATAGACTGCGCAGGGAGATTCAGTTGCTTGAGTCCTTTAATCACATACGCTGCAAAAGCTGTCGGGTAAGTACGGTCTTTATTATTATTATTATTATTATTTTGGCTGGTAAGTACTGTCTTTCTGAATTCAAAGTTTGTGATATGAGGGTTTGATATTGATTATTTGCATATCGATGAGGGTCAATGGTTATAACAAGACTTCATAACTGGTTTATGAATAAGGAGTAATATTACTAAAGCGATGCTTCTTAGCCCCATTCATAATGAGCACCGCCCTTAGACTAACATGCATTTGAGAGTGTGTCATACATGCACCATGAGCACCAGGTGATGTTGAGGGTGAAACCCAAAATGAATTTGAAAAGCATTGCTTGTACTTCTAAAAGCTTGTAATGTGCTAATATTTCATGAAGTCCATGTTGATGCTCACAGATCATGATTGTCCGTTCAGATACCTTACTAGGTTTATCTGATGCAATTTCATCAGCATTTTCAGAATGGAAATTGGGATATCAATACATGCTTAATGTTATGCTTAATTTCAAATATGACAAATGTGCTTCATACACTTGTTAGTTTTACAGCATGTTTACTAGTATTATTTACTGTTACAATTACTACGTGTTTACTAGTATTATTCTCTGTTTTAGCTCTTTTAAACTGTCCACATTTGTCAAATGCATAATGCGACCATGGATTATGTTTTTGTGAGTGGTTTATAGCAGATTGATGGGTGTATTTGCATCTATATTGACCAAACATGTGTGAGGTTACGTTTTTATGTGCTTTAGTGCAGGCTGATTGACGTGGGGGGGGGGGGCGGGGGGGGGGGGGGGGGGGGTCAAAACAAGAGAAAGATTTGTTTTGACCCTTGGGCTTCTGGTGTTCTTGGGTTAGACTTGGTTTTTTGGTTTTGAGCTCAAAATGCTGAAATTCTACTTGGTGTTAGCTCATAAATGATTGAGCTAAAGTTTTAGCTCAATGATTGGGGATTAATTGCTCTTCCTAGCTCATTAATCCAAATAGGTTTGCTATTAAGTCTTGAATTTATTTTGTAGTGGACTTTGCCCCTTCTCCCCTTTGTTTTTTCGTTTTTCTGTGCTGGCTGATTCTCCCGTGCCTTGCCCTTTGGTTCCCGCGGCTGCTGCTTGGTTTCCGCGGCTGCTGCTTGGTCCCCGTGCCTTGCCCCTTGGATTCCCGTGGCTGGCTGCTCGGTTCTGTGGCTTTTTCTGCTTGGTTCCCGTGGCTTCTTTTCTCTGTTTTGCTGAATTGTTTAGAGGCTGCTGTGTTGTGACTGTTGGCCTTTTATTTTCCTAAATCTGATAGGTTGTTTGGTGGCTGTTGAGTGGAGATTTCAATGGCTGCATCTCTATTTTCTGTGCAGTTTTTTTACTGCAGTTTTTGTGGGATTTTGTGCTGTTTTAGTGTCTGTTCAAGTGCTGTTTCAGTGGCTGTTCAGATGCTGTCTTTTGGCCTTCTAGTTCCTGTTTTAATTAGGATATTTATTAGATTTAAAGGCTAATTTTAGGGGCTTCTAGCTACCCCCTTTTATCCTATATATAGAAGATGATTTTGTAGTTTAAAAAGGATGATATATGAATGATTTTGGAAAGAAACCTGAAGGGTTTTCTTGGATAGCATGCGAACTATGCCACTTCTTCCTCTCCTTGTCTAGGAAAGCTTGCGAGCTTCTCCTCCATTTCTTCTTGGCCTCTAACCTATTTCTTCTCTCCGCAAGATCGACGCCATCAGTATCTTTCATCTCGAAGGATGCAAGTTTAGGTTTTTTGTGTCCAAGTTTGTAAGTGTCGTTTGTAATTGTCAAGAGTTGTAAGAGTCGTTTTAAATTATAAAATGAAGTCGTATTTTGCTTGATTTTGAGTATTTGGAGTATTTGCTATTATCTAGGAAGGTCTTATTTTGTTAGCAATAATTTGGGGCCTTCTCCCAAATTTTTGCTTGCATCAAATTTGGTATCAGAACAAGTTGTATGTCTTGGTGAGTCATAGCAGTTGTTGTGTGTGTCATGAAAGTCTAGGTTTCTTTAGGTTGAGTCTTTCTTTCTTTGAGTCTAAATTTCTTTTTGAGTTTTTATGAAAAAAAATGGAGAAAGACAAAAGGATCGATTCAGTCAAAAATGAATGCAAGCCAGATGATCCTGAAGTCCCTCTTCCGATGGACAGATGGATTCCAACAAAAGGTGATTCAACATATCCGCTTCAAAACGAATTGTACAAACTTCAATATCACATGTTCTTATGTGATGAGAAATACGAGAAAATGAAGAAATATCTTCAATACCAATTCGAGAAAGAGAAAGAAGAAATCCTGAAGAAATTCGAGGCTAAGATTCAAGAGTTAGATGCACTCCCATCGTCTCCTCGGATCAAATCAAAAGACAACTCATCGGGAGATGAGTTTTTCAAGTAGGGGAGTCTGATGTATGCAGGGGGGGGGGTCAAAACAAGAGGAAGATTTTTTTTGACCCTTGGGCTTCTGGTGTTCTCTGGTGAAACTTGGTTTCTTGGTTTTGAGCTCAAAATGCTGAAATTCTACTTGGTGTTAGCTCATAAATGCTTGAGCTAAAGTTTTAGCTCAATGATTGGGGATTAATTGCTCTTCCTAGCTCATTAATCCAAATAGGTTTGCTATTAAGTCTTGAATTTATTTTGTAGTGGACTTTGCCCCTTTTCCTCCCCTTTGTCTTTTCGTTTTCCTGTGCTGGCTGATTCTCCCGTGCCTTGCCCTTTGGTTCCCGCAGCTGCTACTTGGTTTCCGTGGCTGTTGCTTGGTCCCCGTGCCTTGACCCTGGGATTCCCGTGGCTGGCTGCTCGGTTCCGTGGCTTTTTCTGCTTGGTTCCCGTGGCTTCTTTTCTCTGTTTTGCTGAACCGTTTAGAGGCTGCTGTGTTGTGACTGTTGGCCTTTTATTTCCCTAAATCTTATAGGTTGTTTGGTGACTGTTGAGTGGAGATTTCAGTGGCTGCATCTATGTTTTCTGTGCAGTTTTTCTACTGCAGCTTTTGTGAGATTTTGTGCTGTTTTAGTGGCCGTTCAAATGCTGTTTTAGTGGCTGTTCAGATGCTGTCTTTTGGCTTTCTAGTTCCTCTTTTAATTAGGATATTTATTAGATTTAAAGGCTAATTTTAGGGGCTATTAGCTACCCCCTTTTATCTGATATATAGAAGATGATTTTATAGTTTAAAAAGGATGATAAGTGAATGATTTTTGGAAGAAACCTGAAGGGTTTTTTTGGATATCTTGCGAGCTATGCCACTTCTTCCTCTCCTTGTCTAGGAAAGCTTGCGAGCTTCTCCTCCATTTCTTCCTTGGCTTCTAACCTATTTCTTCTCTCCGCAAGGTCGACGCCATCAGTATCTTTCGTCTCGAGGAATGCAAGTTTAGGTTGTTTGTGTCCAAGTTTGTAAGCGTCGTTTGTAAGTGTCAAGAGTTGTAAGAGTCGTTTTAAATTATAAAATGAAGTCGTATTTTGCTTGATTTTGAGTATTTGGAGTATATTCTATTATCTAGGAAGGTCTTATTTTGTTAGCAAAAATTTGGGTCCTTCTCCCAAATTTTTGCTTGCATCACTGATGGATGCATTGCTTCTACATAAGTCTGCATAAATATTGGACATAGCATTAGCGTGATGGGTCTTATTCTAAATTTTAATTGATAATAAAAATTAGTTCAATTTGAGAAATTGATAATAAATCTAAACAATGATTTATCATTGTGTCTAGGCGTTCATTAGTTAAAATCATGCACAAAATGCATGGGGCTCTCGTTGTTGCATGGCCGAGGCAGATGTTGATATATATAACCCTTACCTGCCTCACGGATAAGCTATTTCTATAATTTGAAATCCTAGACCTCTCTGTCACTGTTGAAATCCTAAACATTTAGACCATACATTAATGAAAATTCATGCATTTGAATGACGAGCAATAGTGGAATTTAGTGATTTAATGCTTTATTTATTCTAATTGGTAGGGAAAAGAACATTCTCTTCACTTTAAACTTCGGGAGCTTCAGTAGTAAATTTCATTGTGATGGAAAAATATGCAAGGGAAAAAAATAAAATGTTTTCCCTCACGGTGTTTTCAGTTATGCCAAAACTACCATTTCATTAGGGCATGGCATGATTCATGATCCAGTGTGTACATTTTATTTTATTTCTATTTTTCTTACTATAACACAAACTTTCACTTGGAATAATTTTATAATCTTTGCAATTTAAATGTTCTATTTTTCTTATAAGAAAATAATCTGAGTTTTATTATATCCATTCTTATAAGTGATGAGATGCTCTTTTTTTTTCTTAAATTAGATATTAACAATTACCAAATCATAAGACAGAACAAAATATAATATTGTCATATTGCTTTTATTAGTCTCTCCAAACCCATAAACATCATGAATGCTTTTAAAATCATCTACCTCTCGATTAAAATGTCCATTTAAATATTCTTCAATAAAAATTATTTCTTCAGGATGTACTTTTGTATTAATAGCTCGAAGTCATTATAAAATTTTAATTTTGAATACATAATCAAAATTACTTAAGGAGTATAAGCACCTGCAATATTAATAATCTTAGCATCAACAACAATATTTAAAATTATAATTCAATCTCTAATTTTATTAATTTATACAATATTATGTTTCAATTTCTTATTAATAATCACACCTTCCATTTTCAGTACGACTCCTACATGAATACCATAATTTAAATCCTAAACTATCAATCTCTTTAGTCTTTTCTCCAACATATTTAGTTTTCTAAATGCATAAAATATTTATTGTTCTATTAATCATAATATCTATTAATTCCATTAATTTACCTGTAAGGGAATCTATATTTTAAACTCCTATCCTAATTTTAATTTTATGAACTAGCTTCTTTGCCCGCACCCATTGATGATGTTGGAACCCTTGCTTATTTAACACTATACCCGAGCGTCGGTGTAACGGCCCTTGCACACTTTTCGTTGTAAACGCGTGTTTTTTAAGAAATGACTTAGCATTAACTCAAAAATAGACAACTAATGTCATAGCAAATCTT